GCTCAAGAAAAATGAATCCTACCTTTTCCATCATTAGAAGATCTGTCTTCAAAATATTTTGGACATTCTGAAATTCACATTTATAGATGTTAAATTAAATATTAGCATTAAATTTTCCTTAAGATTCTTTGCAAATAGGAAGACTGTTCAATTTCTCATGAACTTCCATGGGTGAGCATGAATAACTCCAATGTTACGTCATAATTCAAAACTTGACGTTAAAACTAAAGTGCAAACTTTTTTGCTTCAAAATGACAATTGAATGGCGTAAATTTGTCAACTTAAGAAAAAATGTAAATACATATAAGTAAATAGTGTAAATATAAAAAATTTAAATTTTTTTTTAGATTCTCTTTAAATTAACTACAACGCTTCACCTATTTATTTATCATGAAGCGAGTTAAAAATTGACGTATCACAAGTCATTATAAGGTCAATTTTTATAAGATTAATTGGCTTTAAAATCTAAAATATAGAAAAAATTGACAAAATTTTAACAAACCAAAATGTTAAATTAATAACTAGAATATTTTTAATTTCTCTAATGAAGACATTTGTAAGCCTTGATTCTAAATGACATAAAGAAAAATAAAATTAATTAAAATGAATAAATAAGTGCCGAACATAGGTGAAAAGTTGGGCCGCCCCAACAAGTGTGGCTTCCATTTAGTGAAGCATTTGGAGGGGTTCTAAACGATAAACAAACAAGACGGAGTAAAAATTTGGGTATTATTAAGGGAAATACCATAAGAGTTAATCTAACCCATATCAGCAGTCATGAGAATGAGTGCATTAGTTTCAAAGAAATCCTAATTAAAAAAATGTCACCAAAATTTTTATTTTTCAATGTTTAGTGATGCCATAAGCAAATCATTTAGTAACTTCGAAAATTTATTTTACAAAGTTATAATTTTCAAGCGAAAGTCTTAGGCATCACGCGAGAACTGTCATGGCTTCTGATAGAACATTGGTAAACTTTAAGCAGTTTTATTTTAACTGTTTGTTTAAGGGACTATGATAATGCCAGTAAATAAAAATTTCCCTTTTTGAAGTAAGTTGATTGTAAAAATAATATATTTTGTCTGCAGTCATCCGTATTTAAAAAGATATATTTGCACCATTACATAGATGCTGTGGAATTGCAGCTCTCCCCAGAAAATATTAGGTAGAAAAAAATCGGAGAGGGCTACATTATCGCAGGTAATACTTTTAAATTAGCAAAACCTGGAAAACGTCATGGAAACGCTAAAACTAGAATTGAATGGCCGGACAATGTAAACAATGCAAAATGAATGTGATAGAGGATCCAAGTTATACAAAATATTATCACAGTAAGGACTTCAAAATTAGCTAACAGTAAAAATCGCCAGTCTTGTAATTACTTGTTGACATTAGAATGCTTTTCAAAGAAACCGATCTCAGGAAACGACTCTGTGCGAAAATCAGGGTCATAGGACCTTGGGCCTGTACAAGGAAAACCTAGGAAACGGCCTGTAACATCGTTGTGTTTAGAAAGTTTACAGACAACACTTTATTTTATGAAAGTAACATTTTTTCATGCATATTGTTTTGATATGAATAAAATGCGAAAAATACTCTATTTTTAATTTGAAATAATTTGAAATAAAATTTTAATTGCCACGTCCGTGTCATTGCAACATTACGGTAAAGTTGACGAATGTTTATTATATACGGGAATGATATCGTGTTTCCCTGCTTGACTAACCAAAGAGTCAAATAAAAAATATCACATTTATATATTTTTACAGGTCCCTGATTTTAATGACAAGTGCAAGCGCAAAATTGTATTTGCGCCATGCTTCCCCCTTGGTTTGCGCTAAAAAAAAATATGCGCCAAATTTTCTGTCTTTCAGTTTCACCATTTCGTAAATGGAAAAAAACCCCGGGTTTTGCTAAACCAGCAATGATTGGGTCAAGTCTTAGTTTTGAGAGGAATTTTGTATACAGGTGGGAATTACTTACTGCAAACCAAGGTGTGTTGTGAATTAAATGGATAGAAGACAACAGAAGCGATTAAGAATCGCAGTTTTGAAATTACGTGATGCCGTAATGTGGAAGACGCACATACAGTATGAATAACTAAACAGAACAATTATTACTGGCCTCTTTTAAGGAGATATATGTTCAGGATTATATTTCTTCGAGTGATATTGTGAAGAACGTAATACATTATACAAGATGAAAAGGAGCTTTATGAAAACTTATGTGAGTGGTGTTGAATTGAAAGAATGGTGTAGATATAGCTGGCCCATTTCCGAAATCAGCAAAAGGATTTGTATATATTCCAGTGCTTTTGGATTATTTACTAAAGGGATTTACCCCTTAGGAACATTGAAGCCGAAACAGTAGCCAAAACAATTTTTGGGATGGATTAAACCTACGGACGCCTGCAAGAAATAGACTCAGACCAAGGTGTCCAATTTTTAGTAGATTTCGTGTAAATACCTAAAAAACACGTCACGTCTTATCATCCGCAATCTGATGGAATGATTGAAAGACTAAACAGGACAATCAAAGATATGCAACTAAGTATATTTCTGTGAATCAAATGGACTGGGATAAATTCATAGATGGTATTGCGTTTGCGTAAAACAGCACTGTACATGAATCGACAGGAAAAATACCGTACAGAATGGAATTCGGCGAGGGAATGACTCTTCCAGTAAATCTATTAACTGTAAATTTGAAGAACGAATGTTCGGAATACAGCGTACTTTAGAGAAAAGTCTGTGCGAAATGTATGACATTTTGAGATCCGCAACTCAACGTTCTGAGAGACAAAAACGTGTTTATGATCGGAATGTGCGTTCTATTAATTATGAAGTTGGAGAGTTAGAGTTAGATTGTCGGAGCCAGCCTAACGTTGCCTTTGGATGTAAAACTAAATTACCCAAAAATGGACGGGACCATGGATTGTTGTTGAAAACTCAGTGATGCTTTATTCCAAATAAAACATTCAGAGAAATGGAAACCAGTAGCCGTCCAGTACACGCGTGACCAGCCGCAGAAGTACCCACTACGCATCGCCGCACTCGAGTCAGCAGATGGAAACAAACGTTTTGAAGATGCTACCAGTACGTCCACCCGTCTCAGACGCCAGACTTGAAACACCAGCCGCCAGCCAATCAGATTTCGAATTTATAATTAGTATGCCTTGTGAAAAATATGAGGAAAATTTCAAGAACCAGCAATTTAAATTTAAACGTTAAAGAGCAACATGCTTCTGATCTCGAGTGTCTGAAATGTAACTTTTTCCAGCGGACATAAACCAGGATATTTTACTTACGCCTACACTACAGACTCGTGCACAAATTACGTGGAGCCAAATTAAGTGAAGCCATGGGTTACCAGCGCTATCCATTGAAAAGACAGAACTACGGCAGGGAAGAGGTACAAAACCAGTGTATTTGATTTAAGTGAACTATATGAAAACATTTCTTTGGATAAAGAATTCATATGTCATTATGTTTTAGAACATCCCATCAAAAAAAAAAAACACATCATCACGGAAGCATAGAAACAGGCAATATACATTTTCATTACCTGCTTCCTGTATCATGTGATATGTCTTGTGTTAATTTTCACGAGTTGGACAGACATTTTCACATGAATGGTTATATCATAAAAGCTGGTCCCTCAAGTGTCTCAAACAAAACTCTAGCTATTTAAAACATTTCATTTTTAAGATCTATAAAACATTTTATTTTATTTACAAAATAAGCTACATTAAATTTCCTCACTTGAGTCGATGGTGGATGCTTACTCCTCCATGACACCTTATCCCACCCCTGATATTTGCTTTACTGCCGATCTGAGTAATGAGTTTTTATTACAGTTTGTTATCTTCGTATTTTATTGAGCTATTGATTTACCTACTTATTGTTACTTAATAATAAACATATCTTGAATTCATTTAGCTTTTAAAAAAATGATTGGCGTATAAAACAAGTCATAAAACATCCCTACATATTTCAAATTTTTATTATATTATTGTTTCATTGTTTATTACACTGCATATTGTAGGGAAACTACTTAACATGTATCATTGAAGACAATATTCTATTCTCAGGGCTTCCGTAATGTGTTATCTTTGGATAATGTTATATAAGACTTTTCTATTTTGGAAAAACGAATACATTCGGTCATCATTTTTTTTATAATCTATAATTTTTTATAATTTTGTTATTTCTTTCCTTTTATTTTTTAAATCATGTGTAATTTTAGACCTTATTATACAATACCTGTTTCCAGTATTTTGTGATGTCTTTAGTGTTAACAAGATGGATTTTCTCTTCTTTACAGGAAGGACACTGGAAAGTTGCTCTAGAAAACTCTGATTCACTTAGGACAGCACTCTCTCTGACGTCACAAAATCCAGCAGGTTTACATTTGAACGCAACGTTGAATTCAGAGTTTTCCTGGAATGTTTTAGAAAGATCGTGTAACAGACTCTCGATTTTTTCTCTTATTTGGTGACATTTGGAGACATCAACTTCACCCTCTACAACAAACACCTGCAGCTGAATTTCTGTCTGCGTCATTCCAATCAGAATGTTATGGTGGCGGTCCTGATACATGAATTTAGCCGCAGTCTGGTATATGCATCCTCGGTCTTCAAAGGAAAACATCTTTGAAGTATTTTGCATGCAAGTTGCTACAAGTCGATGGAAAATTCCAGCAGGAAGAACATCAAACGTGTAGCACAGGATGGATGAGGCGGGGTGTGATGAAAACGCATTAACAGGGAATGCTCTTTTGTTCATACAGGGAACGTACCATTTTTCGTCATCCATTTTAGCCAATAGCCCTAGCTTCTCCATGTACAGCATGATACCATCTTTGTGTTCAAGGTATTCATTATTGTTATTTCCCCAAAACTTAGTCAGCAAAGTGTCACTCAATTCTCCAGTGTCATCGAATTGGTCCCACTCAGATGTAAACTCACGTAAATCTTTCTTTGCATGGTTTTTGTCGGTAATTTACTTTTTAAATGCATCTGCAAACCACTGAACATCTAGAATAATCATTTCTCTCAGAAATTCTTGATTGAAATACAAAATTTCTCTGATATCATGGAAAAACTGCAGCATGGTATTGATATCATCTTCTGTCTCTAACTTAATGTCCTGTGGTAATGCTTCATTGAAACCTAAAAGTATTCTTTTATTAATTATTTTGAGGTATTTCTTCTCCTGAAAGAAGTTTTCAAACATAGCCCAGGAATGCGGAAGCATTTTACCCCAGTGATCAAGTTTCCGAACAACATCAACAATCGACTCCTTGATTTTTTCAATGCCTTCATTCTCGTGGAATCCTATGGCAAATTCTCTCTTGCTGTCAAGATGTTTCTGCAAAGACTTAGTTTTTGTTTCCAAAGTCTTCCATATCTCAAAGAAAAATTCCACTTTTTCCTAGTAAGAAAGTTTTTTTTTTTGAAAGTAGATAAAGAAGTCATACCATTTACAAGAAAAAGGACATAAGATCCTTCCTTCATACACATGTTCAACTATAAAGATAATATAGTGAAAGAAAGTAGATAAAACTAAATGTTATATGGGGAAGCTTAAGAAGCGGCAACCATTCTCATTTTCTTATTGTTTTGAATCCAATGATTTTTTTTACAGAAAAATGTGTCAATGCAATGTTTACTTTTCTAGCAAAAATGCTGAAGATCATATCACTCTATCGGTAATCTTTGGCTTTAAAACTCATGAAAAATTTTTAACTTCCATGTTTTATTTTGTTAGAAAAATAGGAGAGGACATGAAATAAAGTTTTTCTTTCAATTACCTTGATCTTGTATCTGGGACTTGTTTTAATGTCTTCAATTTATTAATAAATTCTTTACTGATTTTTGTGTGAAGGGTTAACATCTAACCTCTTTCTGATAAAATGTAATTGCCATAAAATAGTTTTCCTCTTGTCAATTGAATTTTCTAAAATGTCAAAGACCTAGATGATATCTACTTAAAATTTGAACCCATGGGGCATATAACAAAATTTAATAAACATTGTTTGAAGTCTGAACTTCCATGTCTTTCCATTACAAGGTCGTGTCAACATTTTTCTCTGTCAGTGACCTTGAACTTTACAAGGTCAAAATCAAGTCAACCTTTCTGATCACAAGCAATCTTTGCATAAAATATAATTTTTCTCCTTACGAAAGCGCAATGTCCCAATTTTACAGAGGCCTTAAACTTGTATGACACTTGGTCAATGTACATGAGAAATTCTCAAAATATAACCAATCTCTGGTTCAAACATGTGTTTCTCCCTCAGACAGAAGGACAAACTCATATCCCCATAGTAACCAAACTTTATTTTTCCACTTTATTAGTACCCCTAACCCTGAGAACAATTTTTTTAAATACAAGAACTCTTAATCTGTTAAGTTCACATTCAAGTTTTTTGTAATTTTTCATCAAAATGTTCTTGATATACCTGATCTGTCTTTTGTTCAGCATGAGTACCAACCAGTAAAATGGGAGCCTTTTCGCTGCTGTACTGATGAATAGATTTTGTCCAAAATGTAAGGTAGTCTGAGAAAGATAAACATTCATGTTAGTGCTAGACCATTTCTACATCACACGTTTATTCCTTGTGATTAACATATTCTTTGGTATGATATTTTTGACTTTAAAACGTTGACTTTTGAGTCTTACTCACTTTGATAGTTAAGTTAAGCCATAAGTTTGAATAGTTGGAGCTAGAGCTTTCATATCATTCGTGTATTTTTTGTTACGAGACCTTTCATTGAAAACCAATAATTTGACTCTTTGACCTTAAAGTTTTGCCCACTTTTCAAAAGATTAACCATTGGTAATAGCGTTTGGATGCTTGGTGCTCGGGCTCTTATCTTTCACAGATAATTTTCTTGTAACAAGATCTTCATTTGTGTATCAATAATTCTTACCTTTTGACCCATAAATTCACCTACTTTGAAAAATACCTTAGCTGTTCCCTTTGAATGGGTTTTCTTCGGTAATTCATATTTCACATGTCTATTTCTTGTAACAAGTCCCCATTCTATATTGAACGCTCACATCCGGAAAGTTTCTGGCATATTCGTCATTTACGTAATACAAAGTCAGTGTCCAATAAAACGCAAAGATATTGAACGTTAAAATTCTCAATAGATTTTTGTAGTTTTTTTCCATATAAAATATTTATTAGCTATATGATAAACTATATTTGCCATGAGCTGCCAAAAGGGCATCAGTGTTTCACAAACAAGTCTTCTTTTAAAAATGTTTTGGATTTTCCGCTTTCAATGTATTTTTTTTTACAAATACAAACCTCTGTGTGTATATCCTCTGTAAATGGATCGTTCCTGGCTACACACTTCCTCTCCTACCATTTCATCAAAGTTTTTCTCCATATTGAGCACCAGAATGAAGAATGCTCGTGGACTCAGAAAAATCTGGTGTGAGGAATAATATGAACACTGTCCCGCAAAATCAACCATGCCGATTTTTTTCTCTGGTTCATCGGTAGCACTTTTTGAAACCTTTAAAATGCCTAAACTTTCTGAACTCTCCATAACACTTGGACTTTCCGTTACTTTTTCCTCTGTCTTTTCAAACAAAGGAGCCGCGGCTTCTTCTCCTTTGAGTGACTCGGTTACTGTGTCCATGCTGTAACGTGCAGGTGACATCTTCTCATCATCAGCCTCGCTACCAGTGTCTTTAGAATCCCCTGGGTCATCAATCGCCAGTGTTTTCATCGCATCAGATAATTCTACAGGAGGGTCAGGAACACTGTGATGTTGACTTTTTTCATCAAGTCTAACCTTAAAGCGTTGTTTTTGGTTTGAAGAATTTACTGTGAAAGGATAACAATAAATGATTAAAATATACGTTTTTATTTGAAGAAAGGTTTGATAAATGTCATACTTTAACTAGTGCTAATTGTAACGGGAACCGTTACAGATGTTCCCCAAACGCTCCCCAACTCCCTTTTGGTGCCATATTCCATGTAAGCCTTATTAAATAAGACAACATCTGTGCATTTTTGCCTTTAACAACGTTTTCCCAGAGGGATACGAATTATATTCAAATTTTAACATTGCAGGCGTGCGCATGTGAATGCACGTGCGCAATGATCATATCATCTTGTCTACAATTTTCTATATATTTAAATTTACTATATATTAAACCATTTAGTCCAAAAGTATAAAAAATCACTCATTCAAGAGTATTTTTAATTTCACTCGTTCCAAATGTACGCACGTGCGTGCACGTGCATGATGACCAAACCTTCTTGTAGGAGGCCCTTATATCTATCTATATTCTAAATCCCATCCTGTTTAGTTGAAAACCAAGGTAATTATAGCCATTTCAAGTTTCAGCCAATCAGATTGCAGCACACGTGCATGCGCGTGATTTCATGATTTTTTCCTACATCATATTGTAGGATATCCCAATGCATGAATATGTTCTAAACTTCAAAGCATTTCGTCAAAAAACAAAGGAGATATAGCCAATAAAGTTTCGGCCAATCAGGTTGCAGCACACGTGCATTCGCGTGATTTGTTGAATTTTTTGTATATCATATTGCAGGATATCCTAATGCAAGACTATGTTTTAAATTCCAAAGCATTTCGTCAAAAAACAAAGGAGATATAGCCATTTAAAGTTTCAGCCAATCAGATTGCAGCGCACGTGCATGCGCGTGATTTCATGAAATTTTTTCCATACTATATTGAAGGATGTCTTAATTCATGACAACGTTAAAAATTTCAAACTATTTCGTCAAAAAACAAAAGAGAAATTGAAATTTTTGTTTCAGCCAATCAGAGCAAGGCGCACGTGCATGCGCGTGAGTTCGTGCTAATTTGACAGTGTCATATCATTAACATTATTAATATATCCTAATGTAATGAGTTTCAAAGCATTTCATCGAGAAATGTAAAAGTTATAGCCATATTAAGTATATCCGTCATTTCACTCACTTCACGCGCACGCACGTGCATGCGAATGCGCGCAAAATAACCTTCGTGTTGCACACCTACACTACACACCTATTAACCCTAAAAAGGTTTTAGCTCAGTTGGGTGAACAGTTTTTGAGAACACTCGCGGACAAAAAAAGTACCGGAGAACAAAGAAGAAAAAAAAGAATAATAATAATAATAATAATAACTAGTTCTAATTGTAACGGGGACCGTTACAGATGTTCCCCAAACGCTCCCCAACTCCCTTTTTGTGCCAATTTCATTTAAAAAAAATTTAATATGCCCAGTATCGCAGGATTTCATAAAAGAATTTTACAATTTACAATGATATCAACTTTTAGTCATTTAACGTATTGCACGCAAACACACGTGAATGCATATGCAAGGTGATCATGGCATGTTGTCTAAACCATTAACATATCTTTATATTCCAAGAATCAATAAAAAGTCAGAAAATAAAATGTTACCGTTTTTCAAATATATTGTTCATTTTACGCATTGCGCTTGCGCAGATTCATGCAAGCGCGTCCTTGCATTCAATTTTGCTAATAGTATCGTGTAGGAATCTATTATACCTATTCATATTCTAAATTTCATCCTGTTTTGTTGAAAATTAAGAAAGTTATAGGCATTTAAAGTTTCAGCCAATCAGATTGCAGCACACCTGCATGCACATGCTTTCATGACAATTCTTATATATCATGCTGTAGATCTTCATAATGTATGACTATGTTCAAAATTTCAAAGGATTATGACAAAAAACAAGAAAGATATTGAGACTTTAATTTCAGCCAATCAGAGCGAAGCGCACGTGCATGCCTCAGATTTGGCTATTTTGACCATGTCGTCTTGTTGATACTACTAATATATCCATGCAATGTGAGATTCAAAAAATTCCATCAAGAAATAGAAAAGTGAAGGCTTAATCCATTATATTGGTAATTTCACATGTTGCACGTGCGCGCTCTTGCCAGAACACGTGCATGTAAGTGCTTTCATGATAATTCTTATATATCATGCTGTAGATCTCCCTAATATATGACTATATTCAAAATTTCAAAGGATTTTATCAAAAAACAAGCAAGATATTGAGACTTTAGTTTCAGCCAATCAGAGCGAAACGCACGTGCATGCGCGTGAGATCTTGCTATTTTGACCATGTCATCTTGTCTAAGCTACAAATATATACTTATGTTATGAGTTTCAACGCATTTCATTAAAAAATGAAAAAGTTACGGCAATACACATTATATTGGTCATTTCTCCTGTTGCACGTGCACGCTCTTGCAAGCACGTGCGCGCAAAATGACCTTCGTTCGGCAAATCTACACAACATGTCTACTGACCCTAAAAACATTTTACCTTAGTCGGATGTGTAGTTTACTAGATCATTCGTGGACAAAATTTTCCCAGGAAGAAGAAAAATAATAATAATAATAATAATAAGAAGAAGAAGAAACAGAGTAAAAACAATATGTTCCCCAACTTCGTTTGGGGAACATAATAATAAGAAACCGAGTAAAAACAATATGTTCCCAAACTCCGTTTGGGGAACATAATTACCTTTTTCTCTCATTGTGTTGCTAATAAATATATAAAATTGCGTTCATCACCAAAGAGATATGTATTAAAGGACCCTGTAGATATACACATTTATTAACTAACTAACCAATTACATGTATACATTAATTTATTAAATGCCAAATGAATTAGAGACTTTGCACTTTTGTTTACTATTTTTTCCATGTATACGGAGTATATATACCGAAACGCAAAAGAAACGCAACAAGCAGTAATCTACACATGTTTGATTTTTTTTATCTTATTATTTTCAAAAATGAATACTGTAAGCTAAATTCGCTTTTCAGAACATTAGAGATTTGATAAAAATGTTAAATGTTTATCTTTTTACTTTACTAAGTAACATATAACTGTTAAAACACCCCCTCCCAGCCATTCAAGTAAAATGTGCAAGACTGTCCTAAATAACAATTGAAGCTTTAATAAAGGATACATTATGTTCATCAATATTGAGATCTGAGCGAGGAATTATTCTTTGCCATATTTAAATGCCAGTTTTTCAGATGATTAAGTCGAATTTTCTTAACTTAGAGTGGTATAGCAACCCTTGAATTTCGGTACAAAGACTGTCCTTAATGCATATGATACGTAAGATCCTGTTGAGGCGTAATGTAGTGAGTTTCTGCATAAGCAACTCTCCAACACCTTTACATTGAAATTCTCCAGCTAGAGCAATGGAAATGCGTACTTAAGCCATTTTCAAGAAGCCTTAGCATCGTTATGGGAAACGAAAAGAAAGTTTATTTTTTGAAATCTTGCTGCATTACTTACGATGAACAGTAAAAGCCCTTAAAGATAGGCTACGGTACTTTTACTCATCAACGTAATTCACTAAACCTGCATTTTGGCGAAAATCCGACTAAAATCGGTTTCGCCGTTTCAAAGATAATCAATGTTGAACGTCTGCATTTGCACCTGTGAAAACGATCGAATATGCTTGACAATGTCACTTCCGGTTTAAATGCAATCAAGACGTCACAAGTGTGTCTCGCTTCCCTCAAGTGATAAACAGAAAACGCTGTTTCTGATAATTCTGATAGTCCATTAGAGGAAGAATCGTTCGAGTGTTGATGAGGATTCATTGATGTGCAATAATACAGAAAATGTGGGAGTGTTTTGAGCCCTACGCTAGTGAACCGTCAGACGAAGAAGAATCGACCACAAACAATGCGGAACCAGAGGAAGCAAATCGTTTGCATACTATTGATTGATATGTGAGTAAAATGATAGAAAATATTCACAAGTAGCATTTTAAATCATTATTTTAAAAAATATATTTAATAAAAACATAATTCGACACATTACCTATTTCCCCCCCCCCCCCCCCCCTTAAAACTTGAACATATAAAGGTCTAACAGCTGATAGCATGAATAATGTTAGTCCCTACTGATTTTAATTTTGCGTTTATTTTTTTCATTTGTTTTGGGAACCAACTCTTTTTTCTACACGTTTTAAATTTCAGAATATTTTTTCGTTGTCATTCTTTTAATGTTATGCAACAATTTTTTTTTACAAATGACCCCACCCCCCTCCAGTAAAACTGGATGCATGACTTTTTAAGATTATTTAGAACAAAGGCACGTTACTTCGGTGCTTGCAGTTGTATAAATTGATTTTAAAAGATGAAATTTGTATGTTTTACAGTTTTGTGAAAAGAAAAAAAATGTTTTAATTATCATGTTAAAATATTGAGGAATTTAATTTGTTCAGCTCTTGAAAAAAGGTTATGTATATATCTAGGCTTGATGCAACACAATCAATTAAAAGTCAGATGTTAGATTCGACTTTCAGAGTTTAGTAAGTTTACTAAAGTTGTTAAATTATAATAAATATGTATAATCTGTTTTTATTTGTCACATTATTCACGTGTTTACACAAGTACAATGTTTCTTGCAATATTTTATTCAATATTGAACAAGTCAAGGGTCCCGGATGATCGACATTCTACCTTGTAGATGTCCAATCTAAACATTACTGTAATATAAAAGTAATAATTGAGAGTTAGAGAAGGAGAGATAATTGTATGAGATTGAGCAGATGAAAGTTGAGAAAGAGTATGAAACACAGGTAGTAAATACTAGCAAAGATGTGCAATATGATCAAAGTCAAGGTCGAGTTACGCCTAAAGCTCCAAAGCTTCCTGCATTTAATGAAGAACATGATGAGATGGACAGTTTCCTTCTCCGGTTTGAAAGTAATGCAGATGCACAAATATGGGGTGAAGAGAACTGGGCTGTTAACTTAAGTGCGCTTCTACGGGGTAAAGCTCTAGATGTTTTTTCGTTAA